TGTTTCAGGCAGAGATTGTAATACCTCACTTAGACATTTGTACACAACAATACAGCACAGTCTCCTTTAAATACAGAGTCACACTTCAATCAGGGGTCCAGATAAGTTTTAAAAGCATGTTTTGAAGGAATTCCAAATATGGGCCAGTAAATAAATGTTTTGTTGTTGTTGTTGTTGTTGTTGTTGTTGTTGTTGCTTTTGTTGTTTTGTTTTGTGAGCTTCACCAAATGATCAGAAGTTTTCAAGCCACACCATATGTGGAACCTATTCAAGGACCAAAGATGAATGAGAGCAAAGTTTAATTATCCTGGGAGATCAGTTATTTGTTTTTGTTTTGTTTTAAACTCAGAATCTGATTGGCTGCCCAGGGGCTGTCTAATTACTAATCAAGTTACCCATGTAATTATCAAATAGCTAACTTGTCAGTTGCTAGGAATGTAACAGGAGAGTGATTTGTGATCTGTTCTTTAACAAACAGAACTGACAGACTTCAAGACAAGAAGAGTCCAGCAGTTTAGAAAGAGCATGGTGAGTAGCATTGAATTAATAAACTTTGGCTGATGAAGAGAAAAACAGACCATGTGCGCAAGTAGCAATTCTTGTTTTCTATGTGATCTTTGTTTGACTAATACTTTCTGTTTTTTAGACTGAACGGGCAGAGTTAGAGCTGAAACATGCCAAGGTACTGTTGAATGGATTATTCATTTTGAACGTGTTTCTTTTTAGTTGTTGTATTACTTAGAATAATCCTGTTTGAATGTCTTGCTATAACCAGATTTATGAATTGAAATTTGCCAATGTTTGGCTCTCTGCCTCGAGTATTGTTATCCCTACTAATGGTGGCACTGACTGAACTTGAACTTTTTTCCACCATGCTGGCAATAATGATGATTTGCACTAGGTTATGAGTCAATGATTCCTCTGCATCACTGAACTGCTATGCATTGCCATTTTCTTAGCTGCTGCACAAGATTTTTTTGTGGGGAGGGGGTTGGGGGGCGGGGGAAGAGGATAGCCTGCGTAGCGAGATTGATGTTGCTTGCGAGTGGCTTTTTTCAGCTGCAGAGCAGCGCGGGAAAATTCCACCCATATGAGTACTACCAGAAGTCCCTGCGGCTACGGTGCTCTTGCAGGAGCGGATCCAGGGTTTTACTTAGGAGGCGTGCCCCACTAAGGAGTGGCATAACTGACTGTTGAAGTCAACAAATTTTAAAAGCATATACGAAGAGGAAGGCTTCATCTCGGGGGGGGGGGTGCAAAACCCCTGCACCCACCCCCTAAATCTGCCCCTGTCTTGTTAGATAGTGTCGTAAAACACTCTCGCGCAAAATCCCGCGCGTAATCCCGCCAGCTACGTAGGGAATTCTGGGTAGCCCTGGAACTTGCCAGAGTGTACCTGGCCCAAATCACCTTGAGGATGTTGACCGCCGTGCTAAATAGCCTGACCTGAGAATTAGACTGTGGCTTTTCCTCCCATGGCCCAGGTCTAAATGCTTTAGAAGTTCATTGGCTCCTTTCTGTTGTCTGTTTCAGGCCCACGTGAACCTCCTGAAAACAACATTAGGACAGTTAAAGGAATTGTAGTCAACAGCTGACAGATATTAATTAGGAAATACTCTTCAAACAATTTCGTTTAGTAGTGATAAAAATTGTTCAAAATATAATTAAAACACATAGCGTTATAAAACTGCGACGGTTTACAACGAACGTCAAACATTTGTCCTAAAGCCAAAGATAAATGGACTTTTTAAAAATGTTTTGGTGATCCTCATTGTCTCTCTAATTTTACGTCAATTGATTTTTTAACTGCCATTTCCTAGTGAGCCAACGATTTTGTGGCAGCGGCTGGTTAATATGACGTATTCGTATGACGTCGACCTGACGTAATTTCTTGCAATAAAAGTTCCTTGACTGACTTAAGGAAGCAGTCCAAATTATTCTAATGTTTTAAAGAGTATAGTGGTGAGCGGTGTTAGGGGAAGGTCACGTTAGAGACCATCTGGTCTCGGAACTGGAGAGTTATGCACTTTTGTGCGGCACTTAAAGTTGATTTATTTCAGTAGAATAATACAGAATTACAAATTGTGTTTTATAGAGTTGCGTTTCTGCAAACAATACAGTGTTAGTTAGTGTTGTACTGGTCTCCTCGGTACTATGGTTTCGATCCATTCCCTTCCCTTCCAAGGCTTTGTTGCCCTTTCTGTCCCCCTCCCCTCACGGGCACCATAGATTTCCAGAGGAGGGGAGATGGTAAGAGGCTGTGGCCATGGAAATTTTAAATTGACTGCGATTTCGTACATGGTCCTACATGTATCAGGTGGGTGAAGGCAATGTCATAGTTTGCCTCAGTGTTATTCGTTGAGCAAGTAATCGACTCCGAGATAGGGTTTCTTGTCAAACCCTTTCGAAGTCCGAATTCCGATTGTAGCGGTACAAAAAGGTAAATCTCTAACCCCATTAAATTTAAAAGCAGTACGAGGGCGAGTTAGTAGTACACATGCTCTGTATTCGCCACAATAAATGCTGCGAATTTGAAACTGTCAACCTCAAAAACACTTTGTATCCCTCACAAGCAAGATTTTTCGCCCGCGACCAGGCAAGGTGAACCAAACTGTGACTGGCGCCCATCCAAGCGGGCAAGATGGCGCTATCTTGCCCCCTCGGGATTACCCGTTCTTTTATGCCGGAAAATGTTAATGGACGTCGACTGCGTCTCCGTACTAAAACACACCAATAAAAAGAGACTTTGCAAATATCCAGCCCTCTGGACTACACGTTTGATCAATAACCTATTCTGTATTGCAAATCTGATAGTTACCAAGAACGGAGTTCTCCTGTGTCTATTTAGATTCTCGACGCCCTTCCGGACTTTTTGATTCTATAGCGAGGGAGGGATTTTAATCGAGTTGAAACAATAGGCGACTGGGCTCACGCTGCCCGTTATCTCGAAAGATGTGAAAACTACATTGATTTCATTCTTCACTCGTTTGTTGAGACTACAGTAGCACCCCGGACCCGGGGGAGGATACTCCCCCACAATACCTATACGGGTAGGTGCCGCCCAACGGGGTCGTGATTTTGGGACTCCTGATCTAGAATGGAGACGTTTCCTAGAACGGGGTAAAATATTTCGAACGTACGAAAGCTCGTCAAATTATCAGCAGCCATTTGAAGTTATTCATAGAGAATTTTACGTTTCAGTAAAAGTTTCCAAGACAATTTAATAAGATGGTAAATAAAGAAATTGCTAATCACGGCTTTATCTTCCGTTTGAAATTGAAGCAATCAGGTTGCTGATTTGTGCAGAGGCAGCATCGTCGTATCTAGATATATAGGTCAACCAAAAATAAATAACTTTCAAAACAACGAACGGGCTATTGAAATTTACTAAATCTAGAGAACGGGGTCTTAAAAATTGACCTTTTTCTACAACGGGACATCATTTTGAATGCAAATGCAAAAGGGTTCTAAATTTAGAAACCCGGGCGGCACATACCCACCCAAATCAAACCCAAGTACCCCCCCTTCCTCCCCCCGGCGTAGCACCCCACACAGTAATTTTCTTTTAATATTCAAGAACTCGTACGTTCGGATTAATAATTTTATTGGGTTTCCTCACAATACTTAAAGTAACCATCTGTAGTGTTCTATATTTTGCCCTCAGACGGAAGATCAAACGAACTTAAAAGACAGAGTCGATCCGTGGGGCAATATTTATTCTTTGTAAACCTCTTTTGACCCAGCATGTTGCCGCAACTATTTACAAACCGATCAACATGATCAAGGTATATTAATTTAAAAATTTGAGATCTTTACTTTGTCACGCTTGAAGTACTGTTTGCTAAAGGGACCCTAAAGGGTTATTTTCCAATAAAAGTTTTGAACTAGTGCTATATAGAAAACGCGTATTTTTGATTTTGTCAACTAA